AGCGAAATGTTTTTTAACCTAACAGAATTCTTTGCCGACTGTTTTCTCTATGAATGAAGAAAATAAAGTAAATATTTAACTGTTGTGAAAAGAATCTTATTTAGTTGTACAAAGTACTTCAGCCAAAATTTGGGAGCCACGTAAGAGAATTATATATATTAGATCAGAAACACATCAGTAAAAGGCAGAATGCTTTGGTGTTTTCAAAACAAAGCAAACGTTGCCACCGGCGGAAAAGAAATACAGCCAAAATTTGGGAGCCACGTAAGAGAATTATATATAATAGATAATAAAATAACATTTATTGTCATAAGTTTTATGTTTATTCATCATAACAAACATCATCTTCTTCCGAGTTATTTAAATGTAAATCTTGATCTCCACGTGTTGTCCTTAATGTCCGGTAAAAGTCTTGTTTAATTGGAGATATATACTTTAATAAACACATGATGTCTTTTTTTTTGGTGAAAAAATACTACCGTAGTATTAAAAATACTACGTCTGGCAACCCTGAGTTACTATGAATTTCTTGTTTTTTAGTGTTACCAACAAATATTGAAAGAAGAAGAATTAAATTTTTTTTTCAAAGTTTATGTAAAAATATATTGATATAAGGTGGATTTATTCACAATGGCTTCTGAAATTATTATACAATATATTCAGAAGCTATTAAAAAAAGGGCTGTCTAACCTAGAAAAAAGTAACCAACGAGTAAATCCTTTAATAACTAAGAAGATTATTATTTATTTCATCAAAATTTCCAAAAATCAGAAAATATCAAAAAATGGACTTATCCGCATTGGCTTCTGAGCGGCTCAAATATCTCACAGATTACGCTTTGAGTGGCCACCAAAACGTGAAAATTCCCTGCCTTTTCCCAGTTATTTAAAGTGATTTTTAAATTTCCTGTATTTTCCAGGATTTCCCTACTCTCCCTATAGAATGGCAACCCTGTTAAGAGACAAGAGCGTCGAACTGAGAAACACCATCCACCATTGGGAGGACAAAGCAGTTTTCGTGAAAGGGGGTGGGAATATGATTATGTGATGTCATTGGCGGAAAAGGGTGAAAATAAGCTGATGGGTTTATTTCATGGGTAAAATTGATATTGCAGTGATCAGGATAGTCACCGGCTATACAGTACTGGCAATAGTATTCATACAAATCGAGAGTATCAAAAAGTGCTCAATCAGATGCATGATTCTAATTTTCGGCGTCACGTTAATATCGGAGATTTAAAAACCATGAGAAAATCGATTGCATTCACAGAAAAGGAAGAAAACATGAATCCAGGATGATATCAAGCATGTTGATTACTGAAATGAGCAATTTGAAATTTCCATGTCGTACGATTGCATTAAAAATATATTCAATCTAATTGTAGGCAACTAAAAAAAGGGAGCAAATATATCATTAAATAACTATTGTTGCAAATTGGAATTTGCAACAAAATTGCTACTATTTGTTTTTAAATATGAGGGGGAAAAATTTTCCTAGCGAACAATCTCTTAAATGTTTGCCATTTAAAAATTACTCTTTAAATGATCACTTTTATACTTCTGTGTTTGCCACAGTGGTTTAATTTTATCCAAAGTTATACAGGGTGTGAAACCAAATCTTTCAACAAAAATAAGCACCTTTTAATTACTTCAAATTTAATTACTAGTCAAAAAATATTTTTTAGCACTAATATACATTAAAAAAATGCAAAATAATTTTCAAAGACTTCACATGATAATGATAAAATAACTAGTTTCTGACAAAGAACTCTTTTTCTTGATTATATTAGCCATTGTAAAATGCTTGAGAGATTTTTCGGTTCGATATCAGAGGGTAGAAAATGAAGTCTGAAATTGAGGATATCTTGCAAAATGCAACAGAATTGCACTTGAGACTGCAAGGATCTCACCAAACTCAGCTCATTATATGCACATGCGAACCCACAAGTATTTTTGTCTGACCTGTAAAATGATTGGCGCTTTCATACACTACAGACCGACAGTAAGTCAAATTGCACTAAGATTAAATGAATTGTAAAAACATTGAATAAAACAATGTGAAAACCACACTTTTGCATGATACTTGAGGATAATCGACATGGTAAAGAAAAATATCTATTTTCGAAAAGGGAAAATTAAGCACTTTTTAAAAACACTCAATGAAAAAAGCATGTTTAAGGACTTCCAAAAAACGAAATTCGAAAATAAACACTTTTTAAAAACGCTACGCACCACGTTATAAATTGTAGAGGGTAAGAAAAATTTAATTGCGCAAAACTTACCACAAAGTGTTAGAGCACTGGAGAGAGAACTTTTCAGAAGTATTAAATGTCCAGCTAGAAGAGGATGAACTTTGAATGAGTGACCATCTATAGCACACAATACAGGATCATTACTTCCCTTCAAGGTGACCAATGCGGAATGTTTCTGATTAGCAGACGAAGCAACTACTTCAACAGACAAATTGTGTCCTTTTGGTGGACCAGTGCTCACTTTTTCAACCTAAAATATAACATCATTTGCTTCAAAATATTGAATTATACACACTGATGAAAAGTTTATTCATTCATAATGTATCAGTTTTTTATTATCAACAATGCTTTCACCTAAGTCTTGCTGCAGCATCTGCAGATTCCTCGCAAATTTAAAAAATAAATTAAAAAAAAGTTATTGAGAGAGGAAAGATTATAAAAAGGGCAGAATAATTTCCTTTTTAAAGTGCATATTTATCAAAGAAAAAAAAATTTCAATTATAAACATTTTATGTTCTTTTAACCCTACATTCCTTAATGTATGGATATTGTTTGCCATGGGAGTGACTTTCCTTTGAAAAAACAGACTACTTTATTTCAAGCTGACTATATCATACTTTTAATAAATAGAATTTTATCCTTATACTTCTTAAAACATAAATATTTTTATAACATTATTTTTATAACACTATTTTTATAACAACTTTAAATTTATTTCATATCAGGGGTCTGTCTAGTTTTTTTTTTTAAATGTACCTTTTCCGTGAAAATTTAGAAATAATTTGTAAAAATCCCAAATAGTTGTAAAAATGAAATATTTATAAGTATAAATGAAGACAAAAATTTTTATTAAACAAAGTGCGTAGCCAGATTTTGCAACTAAAAATAAGCACCTTTTAAGTACTTTTTAAGCACTCAAAAAACATTTTTAATCCCTTTCCAAAAAAAAATTTCTATCATTTAAAGTTCTTAATTTATAAACATAAAATCAATAAAATTCAAAAACTTCACATAATCATGACAGAATAACTAGTTTTTGATAAATATTGCAGAAAAAATTGTGAAAATCATGCATTTTTTGTAATTTTAAACGACAATCAACACGACAAAGAAAAAATCTCTCTTTAAAGAATAAAAAATTAAGCACTTTTTACAAACCATGAATAAAAAAAGCACCTTTGAGGGTATTTAAAAAACATAAATCAAAAATAAGCACCTTTAAGAACTTTTTAAAAAAGCTACTGTTAAAGAAAAAAAAATAGAATTCTAATATAAATTTATAGTATGCAATTATTTACAACTCCTTAACTAGTAAATAATTACTAATGTACTAATAATTCTATACAGATTATTAATAATAACAAATTTAAATGAACCTTAGTTTTTTTTTTAATTCTATAGTATGCCTGCAGGAGTAAGGAAATCTACCAAGTGCCTATTTTCAGATAAAAATAAAAAAAGAAAGAAAATTATAATTAGCAAAATTTAAGTTAAAAGAAAATATGATAAAGTAAGAAAATATTTATCTAAGCGTCACTACAAATGAACATCATTTTTGACTAGTATAAATTACTACATATATTATAACAGTATATTCAAAAACAATTTTGTTATTGTAAAATTTTAGGCTCAAAACCCTTAAAAGTTCCACAGTTAAATTCAACTTGAATGTAATTATAATTAAGCTCTATATTTATACCTATGCACTAGATTTGTAAATATATTCTAATCAATGCAAAATTCTTTAAGTGCATGTCAATGATCCTTATTCCAACAAGATTGATACTAGGTACTTTTTTAAAGAGAAAACTGAGATTGAGTTTGAATGACTTAATAATTGTACAATTAAGGAATATAGCCTATAATTTTAAAAGTATATTCATTTTGGAATGCATTTAACAATTCTAATATCAGTTTGTTGGATTCATTTGAGAATAAGATTAGTACATGAAAATGTGAAGATTACATCAAAAGTTACTTAGATGGGGTTTTGCAGAATGATTCCTAAATATGAAAAAAGACTCACCGTAAATCCTAGATCTTTAGCTAGAGTAGGAGCATTCACAAAATTAGCTGCCTTTTTCCTTTGTTGAAGCATTCCTATTAAAACTGCTGTGCTGAACATGATTTCTTTTCTGTGCAAATCAGTACCTACAACACAAGAATTTAAAAAAAAAAAAAAAATGAATTCCATTTTGAAGAAAACCTTATACAACACTTTTAATATTCATAGCTTCCAACATGGATAAGGAAAAAAAAATCCAGTAGATTTTACGAAATATAAATTTCACGATAATTTTGCATAATGCAATAAATATTTTACTCGTAGAGAACTTTAGGGATTTTTATAGCTATCAAAATAGAAAATTTGCAATATTTTTCAGTTATGATGGACATTATACATGCTTGAAATGTTATGTACAGTCGGACACATTTATCTCGAATCTCACTGGAAAATGTGAAAAATTAGAGATAAAGGAGCTTCGAGTTACACAGGTGCTTTTAATAGAATTTCTTAATTACATTTAATTCTCTAAAGTACTATGATTGTTTTTAGTAGAAAAATACAGGCATTTCTGTAAATTGATTGTGCCACATATATCTATTAAATTTTTAAAAAAATTTTCCATACCTTAAACACTGAAAATAATTTTTAAATATTTTTGGCGACTTACCTTTCCTTATAGTGTTGTTAGGTCATTTGTGCTCAATAATTAGAAATTCAGAAAACATAGGTTTTGAAAGAAAAAAATTTATGTAAGGGATTTTAGAAATTTTGAGAAGAAGAGTACTCATAATTCCGAATATTAAAAGTAATTTCCTTGATCAAAGGTAGTTTAAGACTTTTTTACTTAATTTTAAAAGAGAGTTCTGAATAAAAATAGACTGAAAATTTTATAACAAAAAAGTTTTCCACTGATTTACATAAATGAGGTTCGTTTCGTTATGTATTAGTAATACTTATTTAAATATTCAAACAATAATCTGTACAAAAATTTTATTTCAATAGGGAATGTTTTAGGAAGCTTATTCAATTTAAAGGAATTTTCTAAAATGTACAAAAACTAGGAGAATTTTAACTAAAACAGTAGACGAGGAGAAACCGGAAAAACACAACTAATGAATGATACTACATCAAATTTGATCCTACATTAACAAAAAATTCATCAAATATCAGAGTTGGCAAGGTAACCAAAAGGTTTTTTTGGAAAATAAAAGAAAGACTTCCCAGACAAAGTACACATAAAAAATGGAAATATATCTGTAAAGAAACTTTTTACAAAGCTACAATGTTTAAAGAACTTATTTTTAGAAATGCTTAATCTTCATAAGTTTTTCTGCATTCTCAGCACCTAGTTCATTTTGTAATTTTGCCCATATATTGCAAAATGTAGAAAACTCACTCTCAAGAACTTTGGAGACAACATAGTGGCTGGGCAACAAAAAAATGACAACTTTCCATACTTTTAAGTACTTTGTCTAAAAATAAATTTTTTTCGCTATCTATACAACAACACATAGATTTGGTATAAATATTAAAGATAAGATTATTTTGAATCACACAGTCGATATCCAATTTATATAAACATATTCTAAAACTAAAAATATGTAAACATTTAAGCTTTAAAGTGCCTCTGTATAATTCTAAAAATAAAGCATTTGAGGTGTTTTCCCCTGGAAAGAAATCCAATATTTTCCTTGGAAAAAAATTCAATAAAAAAAAAAATGAATAGAAATGAAAACTTGATTTTGCCAACCTTGTCAAGTAGATTACTGACATTCATATTTGTTTTGGGAAGACATAATGTAACTATTTTAACACCTTCTAAGATTGCAAACATTAAAACTTTTCTATATTTTTAAAAATATTCCCTTAAATTTTCTTAATTCGTTTGACAAAAACAAATATAAAAACCCTTTTAATTCGCAGGCTCTTTATTTTTGTTTTATCTAGTTTCTTTTCTTTCTTTTTTTTTTAAAGAGATAAAAATAAAAATTTTATATTTCACAATGTAGCAGGGTCAGCTTAGTTTACAAAATTGCTCGCTAACATAGCAAACAAAAACACTTCACCCTTAGTCTAGCATTAGATCACTAAATATTGTAATAGGGCACATACGAAACATGTAAAATAAATAAAATTACATTTGAAAATTTGACACCTAAAAATAATAATTGAAAATAAAGAAGGTATGAAAATAACAATAAGAAAAGAATATTTATTTTATGGGATTTTTCTCTTAAACCCCCTTTTTTTTCTTCATTAGCAAATGATTACAACAGCCTTATGTTTCTCCAAGTTGATATCAATTCATACCTGCCAGACTCCATGTTTTAAAATGCAGAAGATTCACTATAAAATTCAAAAGTGCTTCCAATTTTTAGTTATAGGAATAGTGTCTTTACACAACCTGTTTAAATAAACATAAAATAGCGTCCCTTTTTTTCAATATATCTAATATTTTGTACTGATCTACAACAGGGTTTGCCACTCAAATCTGGAGAGAAAAAATCCCCAGTGTTTTCCCTGGGCATATTANTGATGGTTTAAACCATGGTTTAAACTGTCAAAAACTGTCACATGTCAAAAACCTGCCAACCCTGATTATACGCAATATATTAAGAGGAAACACACAATCACTGTGCTCTTGTATGAGGTATATTGGACTAACTATACTTGTTTTAATTGCTGGAAAAACTTAGAGAGAAAAAAATCAACAGCAAAACATAGTTAAAACAAATAGTGCTATAGTAAATCAACTAGTTTAGTATAGCTGAAATATCATCCTTAAATATACTATAGATTACGCATTGAGTGGTCACTATTTTTTAAAAGACAAAAATAAGTAACAAAATTCCCTGCATTTCCCCCGTCATTTTAGGTAATTTTAAAATTCCCTGTATTTTCAAGGTTTTCCCTGTTCCCCTTGTGGAGTGGCAAAACCCTGCTTTGGAAAAAATTTTGAAGAAAAAGCATATTCTCAATTTATACACAATTTTTTCGGAAACATACAATATAGTTAAATAATCGAAAAGTATAACAGAATAATAAACTAAGATTAAAAGAATGAAGAACTACATACCATGCACATTTACTGAAACAGTAATTTCAGACTCTGTATTAGCAAATAATGAAGCTATTAAATGGCCGACAGTTTTGCTAAGAACCACACCATCTCTATTGGCACTAGACATTGACAGAGAGAAAGCTGGGGAATTTACCTATAAGAACACATGATTGATATTAGGAAACTGTTTTTGACTCAAATATCCCTATTATTTATACATATCATACAGAATTGCAGTTTTGGAGGGGAAAAAGAAGCTATGCAATCATAAAAAGTGAGAAATATGTTGTCGAATTTACAAATTGAACTCAGATAAATAAAAAAAATTATGATTTAAAGGAATTAGATTAAATACTTATATTAAATATCACGCTATAATATAAAAAGTTAACAAAATTATATTAAATATTACGATATAATATAACGATTAAACGGAATTCTATTAAGTATTAATACTACTCTTTAAAATGTCAAGTGGAATGCCTTTTTGCTAAGGGATAAGCTGAAAATTAATTTTCAAGAAAATTACAACATATTACATATTTTAAATTAAATTGTTCCATTAGTTTTGAATGCTACTAAACATCGTTTTTTTTTTTTTCTTCCTCAAATCAATTTGTGAACAATTTTTTTCACAACATCATTCCATGTTGGAACATCATTACATTAGTATATATCATGAGTAAAATAGATTTCGTAATAAGAGTCAGGAAAATATTTACAATTCCATGAGCTGATTGTCCTTGATTGAGAGCGACCATTTGCTCAGAAATTTCAACAGCGACTCTACTTTGGGCTTCATGGGTACTGGCTCCTAAATGGGGTGTGCAGATCACTTTTGGATGCTGGATGAGTTTTGTGTTCTTTGGAGGTTCCTAAAATGGAATATGGTTTAAAAGAATTTCAGAAAAAGATACACAATTATACAAGAATATCCCTGTCATCTCACTTAACAGACAGGAAATAAATTATTTACTGGTGTTTGACTTTCAATAGGATATATAAAATTACATTAACACTAAACATACCAACACTTAACATATACCCATTTCTACCATAGTCGGTCAAATGACCGTACTTTATGTTTCTTGATTGAATGTTTGAAATATGGATGTTAGGAAGGAAATAAACTGAAATAACTTTAATTAAACATAATTGCTAATTTTCATGCATTACAAACACAAAGTATAAGAATTTTTAATTCATTGCTCAAAGCATTTTTTACATCTACAGGGTGTTTCCGTTGTACATTTTCCGCCAACACATTTCTTCTAATCATTATTTCCATAATTCTTATAATTATAAGAATATATAAGTATTAAAATTCTCATAATTATTCTTATATTTAATATTATTTCTTCTGAGAACGTGTGCTGTCTTCATTGTTTTGACATTTTTATGGGTAAAAACTAACAATTAGTTAGAAATGAAGTAAAGCTATCAAAATAAAATATAAGCTACTTAGTTTTTGCCACTTTTTAATAAATTGTTCTCCCGGTCAAATGACCGGTCGTCGTAGAAATAGGTATGCGACAAGTATTATAAATAATAATTTCAGAATATTAACCGTATATAATTGTTAGAAAAAATCATGAAGTGAAATGTGCAAAAACGACAAGATGATAAGCGTGTTTTTGATGCAAAAGTTCTTAACGGTCATTTGTCCGGTTATGGCATGTTTAGTGCTAAGTGCCAATTTTTGTAATTATATAAATAAACTGCCCGACAATAATGAGAGAGACACTTTCAGCTTTTGACATTTTTTTTTTAATTTCTCAAAAAATACTTAAGGGATTATTTTGTAAATTTTAGAGAGGTTTAGTTCGTGTGATTTTTTATACTTAGCCATAAAATGTAAAGTTTTCACAGTCTTAAAAGACCAGTCTTTGCGAAAGAAAACAAGTATTTGTGAACACCCTATGCCAGAACATCAAGCAACAAGCTTGTATTGATTACTTTAGTTACTATTTTTAATAACTGCATGAAATTTTGAAACCTAGAGAAAATATTTATGGAGATTTGGACATTTTATTAAAAAATAATTTTTTCGCCTTACATTTTCTTTTTACAACTTTATAGCTACTCAATAAAAGTAAACAAAATTTTAGGAGCAATTTAAGATTATATACAAAATTGTCAATTTAGAATTTTCAAAAAGCTCGTTCAAAACTGCGCAAGTTATGAGCATTTAAGCAAGTTCTTTTACACTATACATTTACTGATACATCTCATAATTTTGTAAAGTATTTGGTAACTAATAAAAAAATTTGATTTGAACAACTTGAAAATTTAAAAAGTTTCAAGCAATTTTCTAAAAAGTTTCTGTACTTTTCAAAAAAGCTAAAAGTGATCAGGGGTTTTTCACAAATTTTATTTTGTATCATTAGACAAAATTTAATAACAAATGATGATAATCGTTCACAACTAAACTTATATAGTAGGGGTGCTCAACCTGCGGCCCGTGGGCCAAATGCGGCCCGCCAACCCTCGATGTGCGGCCCGCGGCCGCAATCTGAACAAAATGAAAAAAAATTTAATATTTGTTTTTGAAAAATAATAAAAAAAATTCGGTAATTTAAATTTACACTTTTAAGTTTTTGACGCACCCAATCACAATCAATGTAGTTTTTCGATGGTTAACGCTACGGATTTCGGCATAGTTTTAAAAATCACAATATTTTTAATACATAATTATTACGATTTACGAATTTTAATTACCACTTTTGACGCTTTTCGTATGTGCCGATTCCAATGACTTTTCGGTAGTTATTGCTACCCATTTTCAAGTAGTTTCTGAAATAGCGATTTTAAAAAGTTATGAAACGCTTTATTTGTGCAAACTTCATGGAAAATCTAAATGACTTTAGATCCTTTCTTCAACAGTTATTGCTGCACATTTACGCCCGGATTTTAAAACTTCGATATTTTAGCCAGATATTATTACGAATCGCGAGTAAAGAATCGCTCATTTAGCTAACCATTTTTTGACATGGCTTATTTGTAACGATTTTATCGCAAATCAAATTATTTTTCAATCNCTTGAAGAAATTTAGCACTAAAAGTGGCAAACGCAAATGATGAATTGTATACACGGATATTTTGCCTAAATAATTTTGCTTCTTGCTCATCAGAAAGAAGTAAGTTTTTCAAAAATAAAGGATATTCATGCAGCGGAGGTATATGTATGTTATCATTATGGCAGCAAGAATTAACAGAGCGCCCTTTTGCAGAAGCAAATCTCAAAGCTCCACAATAACTGCATTTTGAAAACATTTTGCCAAGACTATGTTTTGCCACTTTGATAGGTAACAATTTCGATAAATCACCAGCAAACTCATGTTGTTTTGATTTTAAAATAGGTGGATTAGGATTTTGGTCCATATCATTGTCAACATTGCGAAAGCGAATTGGTACAGTGTGCATTCCAACCACATTTTCTGTATTTACAGGTCTGGTTTGATGTGGGCAAATGAAAGTCGATGTTGTTGCGACTGTGTAGCAATTACACACATTCTCTTTTAGCTCAACCTTTGTTAGTTTAACTTTTTTTTTGTTAGTTGAATCATCATTAGGTTGTATAAGCAAAAGAGCATTATTTTCTTCTATACTATGAAGTTTACGTTTTTCCCGCTTTCGATTAGCTTTCGCATTGAGTTGCGACTTTTTAGTAATGTTAGGTCTTTTCTTTTTAGGCATTACTTGTAAATAAACAAATCGAATTAAGATTTAAAACCAGATTAAACTTACGAATTAACGTTTTAGAAAACAAATAATCAGATTAATCAATATATCAATACGAAATAAGTTGAGATGTTGTAAAACTGAAGAATGAAATTCTAACTATTTTGTGATTGGTTGCATCTCTGAAAAAGAAAATTCAGACTTGTAAATCGCTTTTTTAAGCTTGCCGTTTTCAGACATGTGATTGGCTGTTGTGAACGGCGGTTATTCTTCATTATTAACTGCAAAATCGTGCTTTAAAACTAAAATAAATAAAAATTTAAAATTATGTAAAAGATTTGAATGCCCTAAATGTCTTCCCTGAAAGATTCTGAATGAATTGATTCCTTAATCTTAGATTTTCATCACGTAGTTAAAAAGTTTTTCAGGGGACAAAATTAACTGCAAAAACTTTTTTTTAGAATAGAGAGATTAGACAAAATTTAATAATAAATGATAATAATCGTTCACAACTAAACTTATATAGGGTATATAGGATATTTATATAAGGTATATAGGATATTTATATAGGGTAATATAATGATATAGAGAAAGAAAACATGCAAAAAACCAGACTTTTATGGGTGGTGATCGCCCATAATGTCGGCTTCATTTTTGGTAAATCTTGTTCAATAGTACAAGATGAAATTTGTGGATGACCCCTTATTGTTTCAAAATTTCTGTCAGAAAGTACAAAAACTACTTAAAAGATTGCTTGAAAGTTAAATTTTTAAGATATTCAAATAAAGCTGTAATCATTAGTAGCCAAATAGGTTTCCCCACAAAATTTTGAAAAAAATTTCTTCTATTTTTTCCCAGAAATGCGTAGTATAAAAGAATTAGCTTAAATACTTGCACTGTGCACTTTTTAAAACTTTTTTTTTTGGACTTTAAATCAACAATTTTGTAATTAATCTTAAATTTCCTCCAATTTTTTTTTTTATTTCCATTGGATTGAATATTTATGAAGTTATAGCAAAAAGAAAAAACAGAAGACAAAAATATTAATTTTTTATTAAAAAAAAATATCCATATCTCCATAAATATTTACTCTAGGTTTATCAAACTTAATAATAGCAACTAAAGTAATCAATACAAGTTACAAGTTTTTTGCTTGATTTTCTGGCATAGGGTGTTTAAAAATACTTGTTTCTTTCGTTATTTATTTTAGGTCTCTCAAACCTCTGAAAGCTTTAAATCTTATTGCTAAGTATGATCGCACAAACTAAGCACTTCTAAAGTTTCAAAATAATCCTTTCCGTATTTTTTTGCGAAATTTTTAAAAAATATCAAAATTTTAAAGTGTTTCTTCCATTATTGTAGGGTAGTGTAGCTGTAATTGGAAAAAGTGGCAACTTAATCAAAGAATATTTCTCCTAAATAAATAGAATTTAGAATATTATAATAAAATTAAATAATAAAAATCAAAACATTATTCAATTTTCATATTTTTAAAAAAAAAACTTTCTGATGCAAATCACAATTTACGCCAATAATATTTTAAATCCATAGTGTTTCCATTGTATTTTCGACAGTTATTTGATATGGATTTTCAGGTGGTTTTTAAAATCATACATATTTTTATTATTATTAAGTAACATAAATATTTTTTATTATTAAAAATATCTTTCAGAAAGATAATAATGCTGAAGAGGTTTGCCGCAATAAGCCCAAAAAAATTTTGCCACAAAATCAGGAAACAGCAGCTTATAAGAATATTACAAAAAAAATACTTACTAGCTAATCTTTACTAAATTAAGTAAAAGCAGAAGCAAAAATAAAAAATTTTAATTGGGAAACTTAAAACGGCTAAAATACAGTGTTTTTTATGTTAAATAATAATGTAGGAGTAATGTTATGCTGTATTAAATAGTTTCAAAAAATAATCTGTCTTACAGAAGTAGAAAAAAAAACTGTTTTAAGCACAATCATGGTATAAAAGACTCGAATAGAAGACAATGTTTGGAAAACACAGAAAAAATACCTCCAAATAGACATCTAATCCTGCACCACCACACTGACCAGATTCTAAGGCATCAAATAAGGCATCTTCATCAATAATTCCTCCTCTGGCACAGTTCACTACTTTCACACCCTTACGGCATTTTGCAAACGTTTCCTTGTTTAGCATATCTGCAAAAAACAGTCTGCTTCAATTTATATTCACAAATGTTTCACAATTTACATAACTTTTAATTTGTGATGGGCGATGTTAAAATTTTGGTATCACGACATATCGCCACTCTAACATCGCAATATTTTGACTCGCCACAATGTTTCGTTACACTAATATTTCACATTTTGGTATTGGGTAATTTTGAATTCTTGCACTTTTTGATGGATAAATTGAGGAAACTATATTCCTGTAATAAACACATTCCGTAGTTACCTTACAAAAAAACTGTATAAATTCATCTAGTTATCAACAATTGCATTTTTAAAAATAAAAATCAATAAATCACAACAGCGACATGATGCATTAAATAAAAAAACTGAATAACTTATGTAATAAAAGGGTCTGCAACTGCCTATGTTAATTAAGTAATTATGAATATAAAAATCAAAATTAAAATTCGCATTGAGATCATTTATAAAAATCGTCATAAACAGTAAAATATAAACTTTACTGATGAATTGAGAAAGTCTGAAAACTTAGGAACAGCTAAAATGCACGCAACTACCCACTCAATCCCCCCCCCCATTCTTAAATTTAGTTCATTACTATCAATAATAAAAGGAAAAAGTACTTCATGCGAGCTTGCGGTCATCGATTTTGTCGGGAGAAAAGCTCATTGCACGGACTTGAAACCATGGTAGTACAGTCGGAAATAATGCTCACCATCGCACGTGTAGACAACAACAAGGGTGATTGATTGTGAGCCCAACTCAAAAATCCTGAAAATTTCTTGAGTAAAATCATTAATGATGCATTTCAAAAAATTAATGTCCCTAGAAATTTAAATCATTGATATTTCCAAAACATGAAATTGTACATAAGTTATATGCAATACAATTTAAATGAATAATTATGTATAAGTTTAGTTTGATCTCTAATCACATTTACTATCCTACCAGAAAAAGTATTTACAAATGAAACTGATCGCATTAAATAAAAACATACAAGAATTTTTATACATAAATGTGATTGATGATTTCTTGAAACTTGAGGACTTTGGATTTCCGAAAACTTCTGCATCGCAGTTAGTGGAAAAAGTGGAAATCCAGATTTTTTCCAGAAAACAATCATCTCTGCAACGATAAGAACGAGGCATCGCGAAACATCGCACATATATCAGTAAATCGCAATTTTCGATGCTTCGAAACACTTCCAATCCGAACTATGGCTCAGCGATGATTACCAATGCATCGCCCAGCCCTAATTAATTTACAAATTAACACTAAAAATGTAAGCAAAGTGTAGGTAGAAATTAATGCATACTTTTGGTTTGTGGAATCAAAGGTGTATGAACTGTAATGTAATCCGCAAGAGGCCAGATTTCACTCAGTTCAATAGTCTCAACACCAAACTTAATGGATTCTTCAGCTGGAACAAGAGGATCAAAACCAATAGTCTGAAATTACACAAAAATTTGTTAATTATGCAATTACAGCGAAACCTCTGCCATGAATACATTTTTTAATACTTTCCTTCTCTTAATTGGACGGTAGATTTAAAAAGCTCTCTAAATACCTTCAACATTTTTATAAATTTATTACTTTTTTAATTTCAGAATCATGCAACACCTAAGCAAAGGTGGCAGGTTAAAAAATATGGTTAAAACTGGATAAAAAAGTCAATTGTCACAAACTTACCAACCCTGTACAACAATACTTTCCTCTAATAAAATTATCTTTCGCATGCATATGAATAACTTTTAAGAATAGAAAATTTATTTTAACTTGATTAATGTGTATATTAATTCAAATTAATTAACAAAGCTGATATACCTTCATTCCGAAAGCTTGCATTCTAAAAGCAACTTCTCGTCCAATGCGTCCCAGTCCAATAATGGCAAGTGTTTTGCCATTAAGTTCATTTGCCATGAATCTCTTGCGATCCCACTTGCCATTTTTTAATGTAGCACAAGCTTCTGGAATACTCCTAAAATACATAATTTAGAATTTAAAGTATAATTATGTACTAGTTTATGTCAATAAAACACAGTTAAATCTATGGAAAGTAAGGATTAAAAAAACTTGATGAGAGAGAAAAAGACTCTTCACGACAGGTTTAATCAATTTAAACAAATCTTGAAAGAAAAACTATTGGTTTTTGGAATAATTCAAAGGTTTAGAATAATTCTAAGGTTTCTATATGTTCTTTTATTTTTTAAAAAGTAACCTAAGGTTTTTTTAAAGAAAAAAATCATTTTAATACTTTAATTTTCCATTATTTACATACATACTTTTAGTTTAAATAAAACTAAGTTAAAATATAGTACATTTTTCCTTACAAATGATTTCAATTTTGAGATATCAATATCAACTATCTGTCTCCTTTTTAAAAAAATAAATAAAATATATATTAATATTAATATGTACTTTTAAAGGTTCATGTATCACCCACGTGGCAGAATCACAGCGACACTGTCGCAGAATGTTAGACTTCCCGCTAAAGGATTTTTCTTTTGAAAAGTAAAAAAAAAATTCTTTTCTATAAAAATTTACATGTAATATTTGAATTGCGCATTTAGATTATCACTTCTTCTCACACTCAATTTAAATCGATAGTATCGTAAATCAACGTAAATGTTTCGATTGTACTCTCGGCAATCGAAAAATGTACTATATTATCTCGGCAGCTATTAGTATTCATTTTCACATGGATTTTAAATATACCGATATATTTCAAAACAAAAAGAAAAATTTAAATCGTGTATTAGAGTATTCACTTTTTAAGGTAATAATTCTATCGAATTTTGGCAGTAATTGCTATTGATTTCACCATAGTTTTTAATCCATTATTTTTTATATATCATTTATTACAACAACCTAATCTCGAATCGAAACAAGCTTTGAGTAGTCCGATTAGCTAATTTCGTCATTGGATCTTTTTTTCGGCAATTACTACTACAGATTTAAAACAAAATATCCAACAAAATACAAGAATATCACCCATAATATTAAAGCCCATACCCATAGAATAAAAAATACCCTTAGAATAAAAAGTTATTACATGCCCTGTGGCAGAATTTTTTCAGGCTTTCTGCAACATGCCTCTCTAATACAAATATATTTCTACAAGATATTTTTAAAAATAACAAACATACATGTTACTAATTTAAAGTAACAGAAGCATCAACTTGAAAAAAAAATCAATTAAATAATTAATAATCTTTCGGTTAAAATAAAAAAATATAACTTTATTTAAATGTAATTTTTTTTTATTCTAAAACTATGGTCATTATTCTTGCATCTTGTAGGAGGAAAACACACTATTTCCTTCTTTGCATTTTGTAAATCATTTTCAAATTAAAATAAATAATAAAAAAATTTTGAAACCCGTTGCAGTAACTATTAAAAAAAAGATTGAGTGAGTCGTACTTAAAAAGGGTTACTAAATGCGTGTTCTCATTTCGAGCTTCAATAGTTCTAGTAAACAATATTGTATTAACAATTTAGGATTTTAAAACTATGTGGAAATCAATAGTCGTAACTTCATTAAAAAATAGAACGAAAATTTCTGCAGAAAAGGAAACCAAAATTTTTTACTTCCCAAGGGAAAAATCTTGCAAGAACTCCGTAACGTTCTGCGAACAATGGCGCAGAGACATCACGATTCTGCCTTGGGGATTACATGTTCAATTAAAAAAATTATATGGTAAAGGAAAAATCTCATTTTGAAAGAGGAAAAATTAAGTACTTTTTAAAAACGCTACACACCCTGTTTAAAAGATTACAAATAAAAAAAAATTGTCCGACAATCGGTAAAAAAACTAGTTTAATTAGAGAAAAGGTTGAAGCAATTTTTATAAGTGTGAATTACCATAACAATACATATATAGATCAGAGAAAGAGATAATGAAATATAACAAAAAACATCTGTCTATAAATAATAAAATTTCAAAAAATATTTTAAGTTAATTTCAAGAATCTCACCTAGATAATGATGTGATCATACAGCATGTAAGTTCAGCAGCACTTAGAGTATTTCCACCAGGAGCACTGCAAAATTTAAGTAACAAATTAACACTGTAGAATCAAATAACAAAATTTATAGTAACTAACTATAAATTAAGCAATTGCTTCAAATTATATATTCAGTCATAATCAGTTTTTAATCTTTTTTTCCAAAACTTATATTTTATTCTCAATCCCTTAACAGTGACATATATTTCAAAAATATGGAGTAAAAATGGAAAATATTTTTGACTGTTTAATTTTGTTCTTTGTATTATTATAAAAGATAGAAAATGGTTTTCACTACAAAAAATTTTTTTTTAATGTACAGTACAGAACCAGTTATCCGGAAATCAGAAAACCAAAAAACCGGAACGAAATACGATACATTTTCCCGCTATTTTTTTTTAAAAAATTTTTTTTTCCTCATAAGATTTTAGGATTTTTCTTTCTTTTTTGAAAGATGTTCACCATGCCATCATTTTGGAAATAATCATTAGTGTATTACTTCATCGTTTTTTCTTCTTTTTAAGATTATTTCCAAATTTTTTTTTTTAGTTGGGTTTAACAATAAAAAAACGGCTTTTTGTAGCGATTCCGAAAACCAGAAAAATCAGTTATCCGGAATGGCGATGGTCCCGATCGTTCCGGATAATCGGTTCCCTACTGTATTTATAATTTTTACGTACACATAAAAAAATAATAGATTACACACACATCTTATTCTATTAGAGCAAATGAAACAAAATTTTGAAGCTAAATATAATATAACTAGTATAATATAATATAAAAAAATAACAATATGATTTTCAATACATAAATGTTACAAATCTTTTACAATATGGTATATCCAAAACCCCTACCCACACTTTTCCTCCCTCGACTGAAGTCATAATCGGTGAAAATCTAGGACCACTAATGCCATCTATTAGGAAAATAGTGAATAAAGTAGAAACGAACACAGCTCGAGCTTCACAAAATAGAAACATTAATTTTTCTCCTGCCCGAAGTCAGTTAGGGCATCATGAATACTGTAAGTAATAGTTGCCCGAACTGGATTCGGGCAACACTGGCAAGGGGTTAATAACAGTGTTCCCAACCACCGTAATATACATCAGTGGAGATTAGAGAATTAGCATAATTTTTACATGTACAAAATAGCCCTGTGACAGAATATTTCAGGGTTTTCTACGACTAACTTCCCTAGCATTATTATATTTCTTTAAGACTATAAAACATAAATATGAAACATAATACATCTCTTCATCAGCTCACACGGCTATATCCGCAAAAAAGAGCGCTTTCTAATATTGCATCAATACAGCCAAAGTAAAATATATCAATACAATAGTGTGAGGAGAACTAAAAAAATTTTTACTTTATATATATATGACCTTGCAGAGTGGAAGGATATAAACTGGTCTTAGACAGGGAAATACGGCATAAAATTTATTTAATAATTATTACAGCGAAAACAGTTATCAAAGTTAGGGAAAATCTTGCAAAGTAAATCAGTAAAATACTTCATTTTAGGGAATAAGGGAAATCTTAGTAATTGTTATTGGTCTGTTAAATGGTTCCAGGGAAAAAGTCTTTCCCACGAATTAGGCAGAGGGATAATCGTCGGAGGGATAATCGTATTTAATGCATACTTGAAGTAAAAATAGATAAAAGATAGGAATTGTAAGTTTTAAAGTGTAAGAAAGAGAGTTTCAATTTGAATATTAAATTAAGAAAAGGATTTACAGAAAAGGAATAACATAAAAAGATTAATTTAAGCTTTTTATGTTACATCCTATATCCTATATATGTCAGACAAAAAAATTTTTTTGTATACTTAATAACAAGAACGCCATGTTTGGTGGCAGCATCACAGTCAATGTTATCAACTCCAACACCTGCTCTACCAATAATCTTCAAATTCTTTCCAGCAGCAATTATATCTGAGGTAACTTTAGTAGCAGAACGGACTATCAGGCCATGATAATTCTTTAAAGAAAATAAAAAACATGTTTTAAAAATCAAATAAAATTTTTCACTTTTTAATGTATTATTTATATATTTTTTTAAAAAATACTTTTGATTTGTAATGGACTTGTACAGAACAAAAAATAAATAAATAAAATTAAAAAATTTACAGAGTTGCAATTTACAAAATTCCCTGTGTTTCCCTGTAAATATTATACACACTATATTAAGAGGAAACACACAATCAGTGCGTGCTTGAGTGACCTATATTAGTATAACTATACCAGTTTTAATTGCTGGAAAAACAAACAAAGAACAGCTTAAAATATTTAAAACAAATAGTGCTATAGTCCTGTGGCAGAATATTTTCGGGCTTTCTGCGACATGCCTCTCTAATACTGATATTTTTTTGCAAGATATTTAAAAATAACAAATACAGTTGAACATTGATTTAACAAATTGATTAGGACCGACAAATCCGTTTGTTAAATCGTATTCAATTTTTGTAAAGAATATGGTATAAAAACATCAATGCAAAATACTCTTAGATATACAGTAAATAAAAAAAAGTGATTGTTTACTATGAGCTTAAAAATTATAAGTTAGGGTGTAAACTTTAAAATGATCTGAATTGTTTAATGCTACTTGCTTTTAAAACTTAATACATAATGCATACATATAATTACACACACACTTCGATTAGGGTATGAAATATTCAAAATTTTAAGTGCAAACATTTTTTTATGTACAATACCTCTTTTGCTACAACATATTCCTTCTCATTTTTTTTTAATTACCTGCTTTAAAATTAACTTTAACTGCCTGTTATTACATTCACTTACCACCAAATATAAATAATCAAATGTATACTGCCAGACAAGAGGCTCCAGTAAGAATAAGTATTGTAGCAGTGGTCTATTAAGTACAATCATAAATAAAATCTATTAATTTAAGCAGCCCCTCAAATTATAGGGCAATTTAATGAGAACTTGAAATGAAAGAAAAAACAGAGCAGACAAAAAAAAAGATTGGATTTGTTTGGTTTTCAATTCTACATTTTTAATTTGCTTTTAAAAAAAGAAATTTAATAGTCCAGGTCAGGGTTGGCAAGATTTTGCCGCAGGTGGAAAAAACCATGGTAAATACCGGTAAAAACCGTCCAGGCAAAAACAGGTTTTTGCCAAGCAAATTGGCAAAAACCTATATTTTCTAAGATGAGAGGAAAAAAACACATTTTTGATGCAAAATTATTCCCAAAATTGAAACATATACTATAAATATATATATAATTACAAAAAAATTAACAAAATTATTATTCCATAATTAAATCATAATGTAATAANAGTGTTAGGACAGATCCCTAGAGAAAGTAAAGTTATAGCTAGTAGCAGATCAGCTCCATTTGTTGTACCTACAACATTTTGGCGTTCTCTAACTGCTGAAATTTAATGATGTAGCACTATGCTGTTTGTTTTATCCATAGACAAGTAAGCACGCACTATATCTACAAACTCATACTAAATCATTAATTAGATCATTGATGTTCAATATGTTAAAAAAGCAATGTCAGTAGATGTGGTTATCATTAGGTAGCAGATCAGTTCCATCTTGATGCTAAAGCATTTTGGAGTTTTGTCTGCTTAGATAAAATAATAGTCAAATGGGTAGCACAATTAGTGTTTGCAATCTGTTGAGCAGGTCAGCTCCATCTGTTGTCTCTACAACATTTTGGCGTTCTCTAACTGCTGAAATTAAATGATATAGCGCTATGTTGTTTGCTTTATCTATAGGCAAATATACACACACTATATCAACATCAGCAAACTAATGATTGGAAAGATTTCTGCATGGTGATCTGTGGCAGAGTAATTGCCATGCCTTGGCAATTTCTGGGCAGCGACCCATGAGAAACTTTAAAAAAAAAGGCATGGAAAGGGATTCATAAGGTGTAATACTTAGTCAAGCCTGGGCAGACATCTGTAGTTTTTTTTTAAAAAATTGCAAATTTAAGATATATTTGGCTCCTTGGTTATTGTAGTTGGTGCTACAGATCACAATATGAAAACTTCTCAATCATTATCAGGGGTCTGTTCAGGCTGAATTTGAAAAACGGTAGTTACACAAAATACTTTTTCTTAAAATTTTATTTTTGTATCCCATCAGAAACAATAAATCCATATTTTTACCACATTTTTGTGTTATTTTTTTAATATTATTTTTAATTTTTACAAATTATGTCTAAATTTTCACAAAATAGGTACCTCACAAAAAAAAAGACAGACCCCTGCTAGTTGAATTAGAAAAAAAGATCAATTTTAATTAACTACATGCTTTTCACGGACATATGATTGCTGGTAGAGAAAATTATGTGAAATATTTTTCTAAACATGTAGTTTTTTTTTTTAAGTACTTATAGTTTCTTTTAGTGCATAAAAAAATCAATTTTAAATGAAAAGATAAACAAAACAAAAAAATTTTATCGAATAAAAAATTTTTTTAATCAACACACAAAATATATATAAATCCAATAAAATCACACAAATCGGACGTGTCAAAAAGGGGTAAATTAAATGTACATTTCGAGATTCATCTGTTGCAATAAAATAATTGGTATGTAAAAATAGCAAATATTAAAAAATATACGAAAATCAGTAGTTATAACTGCCGACTAATAGATTTTTTTAAAAAAAACAATAGAATATCATAAAAAACAGAACAATATCATGACAAATAGTGAATAATCAGGTATCAGTTAGAAAGCAAAATACAAAATTTGAGCAAAATCCGTCTGATAGTTCCAGAGAAATGGAATTTCAAAAATGTCAGACACTTATAATTCAATTTTTCAGGAATACTATGGGACAGATTTTGCTCAAATTTTGAATTTTGCTATTAAAAATCATATTCTTTAAAATGACACAAAAAACTGTATACCTTACAATTCAAAATTTTTTTTGACTATTATTAAATAAAATAATTAAAAAAATATTTCATAAAGGTTATTTTTTCCATGGAATTATCTTTGGATAAACGAATTTTATAATTGTGTGCAAATTTTTTTTAATTCACTTAAAAAGTTCTCAAGATATAACGAAATATGCAAAAAGTGAAATTCACTTTAAAGGATTCAAACTATGGAGCACTCTTTTGACCAAACTATTACAGGGTTCCCACTCTTTTAACAAAGCAAAAATTAAGTACTTTTTTGAAAATTTTTTGAAATTTTTTAAAATCCTTTTCCCTTTTTTTTTGCATTTCAAACAAAAAATCAGTCCAAGTTAATGGATTTAATTAATAGCAATTTAACTTAAGAACGCATGTGGTAATGTATGTTTAAAATTACTTTTGCTGGATTCTTGCTTTCCATGCAAATTTCTTTTATGATTAAGATTTTTTAAAATAAATAGTAGATACAAGTTTACAAGATAACGGTGCATCAATTAATGCCTAGTGTTTATGAATTTAAAACCTGTTTTGTGTTGTTTAAGTATTTCAAAAGGTGATTTTTCTACTTACCAAATTTAACAAAATTATTATTGGGATTTAGAGACTTTGTTGAATAGAGGTTCAACTGTACTTATTTTTTAAGGCAATAATTCTATTGAAATTTTAGCATTTATTACTACTGATTTCTCCATAGTTTTTAAATCTGATATTTTTTATTTGATATTATTTATTACAACAACCTTATCTAAACGAAACACACATTTTAGGAGTCCAATCATTTTTCCTGCAATTACTACTACGGATTTCATGATTTTTAATTATTTTTTGTCGTGATGATTATTTACAGAATGCAAGGAAGGAAATAGTTTGTGCGCCCCCCTCTAATAAAATGAGAGAGCATAGCCCATAATATTAGAGCAAAAAATTGTTAAATGTCCAGTTAAAAAAATATTATATATATTTTTTTGAAAACACAGTACTGTTGTTATTTCAAATTAGTAGCATATATGTTTGTTATTATTAAAAGCAGGGTTGGAGTTTTTGCCGGCAAAAAGGGGTTTTTGCCAGGACAGTGGCAAAAACCTGGTAAAAACCGGCAAAAACTGGTAAAAACCGGCAAAAACCAAATTATCTAAATTGCTGATTAAATATTATTACAAAATACTTGAAACAAATTTAAATCAATCATAAGGAATAATAATTTTGATACATTACATGAAAAAATTATTTTTAACATATTAATAATTAATATAAGGGTAATAATTTTTAAAAGATTGAAAGTTTTTGATCTCTTTTCATTTTAGAATCCTAAAATAAATGTTTTTTTACAAATAAATAAATATTATTATTTGTATAATATTATTATTTATTATAAAAAATTATTATTTGTACAATAATTAACTACACATGTTGATAGATATTTTATGCTTTAAATTATAGTTATATTAATTTAAAATAAGTTCATTTCACTGGAAAAAAGAGAATAATCACAAATTTTCCAATCAATAATGTTTTAAACTACTAAAATGATATATTATTACATTATCATTTAATTATGGAATAATAATTTTGTTAATTTTTTTGTAATTATTTATATTTATAGTATATATTTCAATTTTAGGAATAATTTTGTATCAAAAATGTGTTTTTGTCCTCTCATCTTGGAAAATATAGGTTTTTGCCACTTTTTGCCAATTTGCCTGGCAAAAACCTGTTTTTGCCAGGACGGTTTTTACCGGTATTTACCATGGTTTTTTCCACCTGCGGCAAAATCTTGCCAACCCTGATTAAAAGTATCTTGCAGAAAGATATTAGTGCTAGAGTCTTGTTGCAGATAGCTCGAAAAAAATCAGCCTTAATGGCTAACATATTTGCTATGGTGGCTGAGAGTAGACATAAAAGAAGAATGGTATAAAAGCATTGGTGGATGAAAGATGAAAGTAGACATACAACAACAAAGGGTCAAACAACCACTCATTAATTAATCCGGAGGAGATTTCCGTATCGTGATCTGTGGCAGAATAATTGCCAAGTCTTGGAAATTTCAAGGCAGTGGGCCGCAAGAAACTAAATACATATCACAGAAAGGGACCAACTCAAAAGGTATAACTCAATGCAAACATCTACATGCTTTGTTTCTTTTTAAACTTGCAAATTTAAAATCTATTTGGCACCTTGGAGATTGTTGTTGGCACAACAGATCACGATACGGAAATATACCCATTAATCTAATATACCCCTTAAATCTATTTCACAGTTTAAAATCAACAAAAAATATGCAAATTAATTTTTAAAAAGTATGCCCCCCCCCCGGAAATGTCTATGCCTTTTAGATTTTAGAGAAATAGGGGGGGGGGACAGTTCCTTGCTCCAAATCACATTTTTTTTTAAATTACTCAAAAATCATTAAATTGAAAAAGTAAACAATAAGTTCATAATTATCGAAAATGTGTGATTGATGATAATTAGGTTTACAAAAAAAACACTCAGAAATTGATGAAAATGAACATGGTTAACTTTAAACAATTTTTAACGAGCCTTTCCATTTTAAAAAAATTCCGAATTTAAAAGAGACAACGGAATGTAAGCACAGAATGCAGTTGTAAGCATTACTAGTCATTTTTCAAAATACGATTTATAAGCATTAAATATGTAACGTAATGCATAACATTAAATCAATCAAAACATATACCTGTATTTCAGATTTCAATTGTTCAGCAGTTAATCCAACTTTAGTTGTCGTAGAAATACCATTTTGTGAAAGAATAGACTCGCAACTGGGATCGACTGATTCGGATATTAAAACAGATTCAATTGCAAGAGACATGATTAAATGAAAGCTTGTGAAATAAAATTAATGCCGCGTACTTAATTCCAATACAACCACCGCCCTTGCTTCAAAAGTGAGAAAAAGACAGATTACTGATAAGTCAACATTTAAATCGCAAAGAAAGATCATTTGTTTGTGTTAACCTTTTTACCGGCAAGATAAGGTTTACCTTTCTGCGCCAGAGCTCTCCAAAAAATTATCAGCTTGGCAATTACTAGCCAAAAATATTATTTACAAAATTTATCTCATTGGCGATCGCAACGCTCGAATGCGCCATCTAGGGAGAAGACGGGTTCCATGTCTGACCCTTTCCCTCTCCTCCTCATAAGCAAAGAAACCTATTTCGATCGCCAATTGAATTCATTAAGTTCCAAAAGAAGTGTAATTGAAAGAATTCTAGCCATATTTTCGATTTGTCCCCGGCAGAATCGATCTCTTTTAATCATGTATGAAATTTCAGGATAAAGTCAAGGCCGAATTTAAGTTCGGTAGTGTTCTAAGCTACTGCAAATGATGGGACCCTTATAAGTTAAATTCTATTTCTATACACGTAAAATAAACTGTCATTATTTTTCATTTGCTGAGCATTAACATTATATTATTAAAAGTTCCGCAGTGGACTGATCGTTAAGACACGGCTCCCAGCAGATCACCGAAGTCAAGCATCAGTTGCTGCGGTCGTGCGGCGCCGTCAAGTATCACTGATGCGATGCATTTATATGTCAGTGTGCGGGTGGGTGACCACTTGGATTAATCTGCGTAGGGACTGAAGGTGTGCGGTATGGGTCCTCGTTAAACTGTTCTACCGTAAAGTGCTCGACTTCGCGTCCAGGTCATCGGGCTACCGAAGATGGGGTGCCATCCCCTCTGCAGAGGATCAAATTTGTGACGGAATTTGTTCGGATCATCCTTAGAGATGTTTCCCAGACCATCGCCAATAGCCCATTGCGCAGCTCTAGTGCGATGAAAATGAACAACAACATATTATTTAAAAATTTTATAATATTACTTGATTGTTAAAAATATTGATTGTGATGAGACTGTAATGTAGAACTTACTTTAATTGCACATATTTTTGAACGGGGAAAAAAAAGTTACAATAGAAGCACATTTTAAGATCATCATAAGTACATTTTAAGCACAGAGTAAAAATTTGGCATGTATATTGAACAGAGTCTTTTTTTTTTTTTTTTTNATGAGGTTTTTTTTTTTTTTTTTTTTCAAAATTCTGAATCTATGTTATTTGCAATTTTAAATGATTTGAATAAATTTTTTTTCTAAATTGTTTTCTCTTTAAGTTACATTTTGCTTTGCTGCTCAAAATCTATAAGACTTGAAACATGAAATTATGAAGGTGTGTAAAAAATATGCAAGGAGTGAGAAATAATTCAAGAAAATACAATTTGATCATTAGTTTTACTTTTTTTATAACCACCGTTGAACAACCGACTCAATTTTGAGTTTACGACTACCAATGTTTAACTCCGTAGCCTTGTAATTTTGAACTCAATCCAGAAGACAAGGGAACTCCCTGGATCAGTACCCATAGGTATTGATTTGTTATGAGAACTTGGCGGAATTTGTGACCCAACATGAGTCCAATGCCCTAGCAAACTAGGCCAAATTAATTGTTTATTTTATAACAGTCGGTGAACAGTTGACCCAATTTCGGGTTAACGATTACTAACATTCAACTCCGTAGCCTTGTAATTTTAACCCAATCCATAAGACAAGGGAACTCCAGGATCAAGTATTGGAAGAAATTTTTGCCTTCGTGGAAGACGTTTCGATGGAACTAACCCGCATTTGACTTACATGGAGATGAAAACAAAGAAAGCCTCCCATGGTTAATCTGACAGCAGGCGGATTCTAGCCCATGATCCGCCTACCACTGAGAATATTTTATGTCATTCACCTCATTCTGAGGCGAATGCTGTATCCCTTGAGCCCATTTTCACTGATTAATAACTCTGCGGGAGGTTCTTATTTTATTGATTTGCCTAAATTTAATCATTTTCAAAGTGTAAATGGCAATTTAATCGTAATTTTTGTAAAAAAATTAATGGAAATAAACCGTTCTTCCTTTTAATTTGCAATGATTCATGAAAATCAACCACAAGGGTTGCTGAGCAAAGTGAACAAGGGGAAGAGTCTTCTAGTTTTTTTTAAATAATTGTTAAATTATTAGTTTTTTTATCATGCATATCTTAAAAAAATAAGAAAAACATTTTTCAGTGTTAAAAAATAAAAAATTAAGAACTGTCATCAGCTGGAAAGTAAAGACACATACACTGATGGGGAAAAATTCCCAACACCAAGAATAAACTTTTGTAGAGTACTGAAATTTCGGCAAAGCGTTTGTCTGAGTAACACATTTAAATGATTAAAGTTTGAAGATCACAGGCTAACGCAATTGAAAGAAAAACCATTTGAAATGTGAAATACTGGCACATTAATAATCGCGGTGTTACCACCAGAATTTTGAATGCAAGCATGCAAATGGGCACGAATTGTCGTATAGATGAATGTCTTCTTGCGGGATGGAGCCCAATAGCCCATTGTGCAGATCTAGTGCGACGTAAACTAATAACAACAGGACATCTTTTCTAGATTTTGAAGATTGGAGTTAACGTTTTTATTTTTTGAGCTTATACTGCATTGTGCTTGAGTTTTGCTAATCTGACCTAGCCTAGTGATCTTTACCGGTCACACATGTATGTACAGTGCTCAATAAAAGAAGGGGGGGGGAAACAGACAACCCTGAATAACTTTTGATCTAATGATCGGACCTTTACGTTCTATGACTTACTCTTAATACCTCGAGGGGATAACCTTAAAGATGCTAATTAATAAGCGCTGATGATATTTTAAGTTGCGAAATTAGGGGACCATACTTCCCGAATTGCGGATAACTCTTATGTTTTGGAGATCAGAAATACGAACCCATAAAAAAAATGGTATGTTTGCTCAGAGAAAGCGCGTTTTTATGTCGGATTTCATAGCTTAAAATATCGTTTGCATTTATCAATTTTATTTTATTTCTATTCGTCATGGAACAGCAGACTCAATTTTGGGTTTACGACTACTAATGTTCAAAACTCCGTAGCCTTGTCATTTTGAACCCAAGCCATGAGATAAGGGAACTCCTGAATCTAGTATTGGGAGAAATTTGTCTTCGTAGAGGACTTTTTGAAGGGACTAACCAGCATTTGCGTCGCATGGAGACGAGGAAAACCACGAAAACCTCCCACTGTTAGTCTGACGGCAAGGGGACTCTAACCCGTGATCCGTCTACCACTGACGATATTTTACGTCAACACTGTAATCGGTGCGAGCAGGGAGGCGGACTTCGTATCAACCAGCCATCGCTGAGATTCGAACCCGGTTCACAAAATGGAAAACGGATTTACCAAATTTTCCAGCAACTGAAAGCAATTATCCTTATCTTGACTGCAAAAGATGTTGGCGAGGTCTGGAATAAACCAGAATAAGATCTGAAAAGGGTGAACGATAAAACAAATTTTTATTACAAATCATTCGCATTTAAGTTTTTTTTTCTTTTTTTAAAGGAGAATCAAAACCAAATATATGTCAATTTCTTTTTTTATATATGTATACATATTTTTTTTTTTCAACTGAAAGTAATTATGTCGGAGGCGTTGGGGCAGCTTGCCCCTCCAAATTCGGAGAAATACTCTAATCGGCCTATCGACAGATAAGACTATTGATTTTTTTTCCAGTTGTCTTTTGATTTTGATAATCTTTTTTTAAAATAGTAAGAAGGCCGACAGAAACAGTATTTCGCTTACGGACGAAATTCTCTGTCAAAGGTACATTAAAAGACAAAAGTCCACCTATTAAAAGGTAAATCGATACATTTTTTTTTTCGATTGCACCTAAAAACTGTTGTTTTTTTTTCAAGCTAGCAGGCTGACTGATAAAAATACACTCTACAACAAAAAAATCGACGCACCAAGAAGCAATCATCCGATTGCTTTGAAATTTCGTATGCATGAATGTTTTGAACAGATATGGCTGGAATGATGCCGACTGGCGACGTATAGTCTTTAGCAACAAATCCCGCTTCCAACTGTGTCCTGACGATCATCGAAGACTTGTTTGGAGACGCACAGGGCAGAGGGGGGATCCTGCCTTCACTATTGCACACCACACCGGCCCTCAACAAGGCATTATGGTCTGGGGTGCCATTTCCTTTGACAGCCGGACCCCTTTGGTCGTCATTAGAG